TGAGATTTCCTTTTTCCAGTAAACCTGTCTGATTTAATCTTCTTGCAATTTGGATCTAATTTTTAAAGTTCTGTTTGCTTTTGCCAAGGCATCCTGTTATCAAATTTCTTATGTTAACCAGGTCTGAACACCATCATCTCTCTTGTGTCCCCCAACATACCAACACCTTTACACTTTAAAGGTAATTTATGATTATTTGTGGTTATTTACAACTGATTTTATAAATTAAAACTTGTGGCAATATTATTGCTTTTGTTGTTGCCTTAGTTTTTCTCTTCAGAAATCTCTATTACCTCACCTGCCAGTAGCAATTCTTGTGTGCTTGCTTCAGTTTGCTCCAATTCAAATGACTTCACTTGCAGATATGCTGTGTTTTGACTGCTTAAAACAATGTAAGTAATTTTGACAAAAACAAATTATGGGCTGATTGCCTCAGAGAGGTTGGTCAGCAGATGTGACTGAGAAGTATCTTCCAACTGAGGTCAGTCAAAAGCTTTAGCATCTTTAGCCAGCATATGGGCCAGAGGATTGTGCACTGGCTCATCAAACCTTCTGATCATCTGCCCTGTGCCAGCTGCTGGCCTTTGCTTGGGATTCAAACAGAGTCAAAATAGAAATAAAGGCAAACAATCTGGTTTCAATCAACATGTAAAAATCTGCCTGCAATTATTTTGTAAATTGTCATTCCTTTGATATTAACTTATCTCCACACAGGGAAGACCCAACAAAGACAATATTGCAAAATTTTGCAGAAAAAATGCAATGGATGGTAACTGTATTAGGTCTAGGTGAGCAGAAGAGCCTTGAACTGCTGTAAAGGAAATGCCCAGGACAGGAAATTTAGATGACAGTATCACTCAGAGAAGTATTGTCATCTTCTGTGTCAGATAACTGAGTAATAGAAGAGATTTTATTGTTTTTTTCAGTTTGTTGGATCCTTTTGTTTAGTTCTTAGATTTACAGGAAGTACATGCTTAAGAGCCCCACTTTCTCTACACCTGAAAAGTTTATAGTCCAAATTTTATGGTGTACTCAGTACCATTGTGGTTAGCTGAGTCCTATCATGGACATTTAGGAAATAGTCACACTCTTAAACAGGCCCCGTAAAGCTGGAAAATGGAGAAAATCTGGTTGTCTCATAGTTGGCACTAGGATAACAACGATACTGATATGGCTTTCTATTCTTATAGGCATGAAGACAAGAGTATAAAAACCCTTATTTTATTTTTTGTTTTGTTCTCGCTGATTGGTGAAAACAGAGGGTGAGATGACCTAGTGATGGTTGAGATCGGATCAGTAATTGAGACAAATTCCAGACATGAAAAGACTGCCTGATGCTTAGAAATCATTAAAGGCTGAAAATTACTCTCTGTGAGAGAGGGCTGCATTGAAACAGATCTTTGAAAAATAAACAAAAACTTTAGAAATTGCTTTCAGAAATTCTGCTGTAAGGTTGATTGTGCAGCTGCTGGGTTTGTAAACACTTAAGTTGTATGCCAACAGGCAGTCAACAGGCAGCAAAGGGCAACTGATCTTGTTTCTAATTCTGTGATGATCAGTAACTCATTAATTTGCTTTGTAAAATTAAAATCTGGTGCTTATTTTTACTAAGCAGAATGGAGTTACTGCTGATATTACTATGTAATCTATGCAAATAAACAAATATTACCTTTTGCTGTATACAATTTTTGAATTATTTTTTTGACATTTTATGACTCATTGTCTTGGTTTGGAAAGACAGGTGTCTGCTAAGGAAGGCAGGAGCCTCCCCTGAAATGGAAAAATGTAGACCCCCCCCCCCCCCAATTGATATAAATTTGAAATTAAGGGGGGCTCTCAGGCAAAAATATGGGAGCAGGAATAACAGTTCTTTATTAGGGAAGAAGATAAAAAGATAAAGTAAACAATGCAGTAAACCAAAACGACACTGACAGAGTCAGAATACAAACTGACACCCTGTTGGACAGGGTGTTGGTAGCAGTCCAATTGGAATTGTGGCTGCAGTCCTCCTGGAGTGGCAGGTGTGGTTCTGTTGGAGTAGTGATCCGGTAGAAAAGGGTGTAGTCTTCCTCTGAAGATGCAGTGGAAGAGGCAGCTGTTTCTCTGGGAAATCCAGTGCTGGAAAAGCTGTGCTGGTGTTCCAGAATCTCAATATTATACCCAGATAGAAATGTTTGGCTCCTCCCTCTGGGCGGAGCATCTCACAATAGGATGTTATAGTTCTTCTCAGTCATGCAGTGAAGTCAATAGCCCATTATCAGCAATCTCCCCTGAGAGAGGTTTGGTTGTGGAAAAGATAAGGAAAACTGCCCACTGAACAAAGGACAACTGCCCTGCAGATGGCAAATAGAATACATCTTGCTTTTCAATCTGGGACACTCATTATCTATTACCAGTGTATGCAAAAAGTCATGCCTAAGAGGGGTCCTTTTGTTTTGGGCTTTGCTTTCCGTTTTTTTTTGTTTTTCCATAGTTAAGCTGAGTGAGGGCTTTACACTAAACCCTGGTAAAAATGAGTTTTGTAGTGTGTTTGTTCTTTGACGCATTTCAGAGAAATATCAACAGGAACATTTTGTTGGGGGCAGCAGCTTATGAGATCTCCCACAAAGCAAAAGTGTTGCAGTTCTTAAGAGAGCTGATTAAATGGGAGGCATCAATCTCTTGCAGAAATAGAGAGCCTTGATATACTGCAGGACCTAATGTTATGGGGCATTGCTTCCTCTTTCTTGCTACAGGTTTTTCCTTACTTCCCATAATAGTTCATGTAGTGAAAAAAACACTTGCCAGCTTATGGTAGGCTCTACTGAACTGGGAGACCTGGGAATTAGTTTGTGTTGGCTGAACACAGGGCTGGTAACTTGTGATGGCCAAGCTGGTTGGTGGCCACCTGGCTTTCACACTGTCAGGCACAGTGCTGTGCCTGTCTGTGGAGCATGGGATGCTGCAGCAAGCTAAACTCTTGTGCTTTGCCTCTTGATGGATGTCACCTGGGGAAGGCCTGGGGCAGCAGCTGGCAGTGCATGCACTGGCTGCCTCTCTGTTGCCACATAACAGGTGAACATCACTGATCACGTTATAGTGTGTTCATTTTTATTTCTCTGGAAGTAACTTTCTTCTGGAATCAGGAGAGACAGCACTAACAATAGAACATTTTTTCTTTATCTGTCCCCCTTCTCATTCACTTGTCATAGCTTCTTCTTTGAAGTGTTGCAATTTGTCCAGGGTCTCTTTGTAACTTAAGAGCATAAGCAGATCTCTACATAATACTGTCCCTATTTCCCTAAAAATCAGAAATCTTCAAGACTTCCTGACACTCAATCCAAATCTCCATCATAATTATAGTGACTTCCAAAACTATTAGTTCTCCTGCTGTATTATGTCAGGTTATAATGATATAAGGAGTATAGAAGTCTTTTTGTACAGGAGTTTTATGACCTGCAAAAGATACAGGAACTAAACTAAGACCTTAACTATCTGCCTCCTTTCTAACAGAACTCTAAGGGATATTGTCAAAGGGGGATTCTTTGGGAGATATGCCATCATAAATTTTGCCACAGTACAAATTCAGTTCATTTCTTCTCATGTTAGTGCTTTGATCTGGGGCAAAGACCCACACCTTGTGTTCCAGAACAGAGGGAAGGCTAGATAAAAAACCCTAAGCCACTTGGCTGAGGGGTCAGCCAGATCAGTTTTCTTGGTGCACACTCATCATCAGTTTATAATTCTGTCTCAATGAATAGCACTAATACCTCCCTAAAATAACTAATAATTAACCTAACAACTTCATCCAAGAGCAGAAAGTCATGTAAATAAGTATTTGGGATTCTTTCCTGCTATGAAACTGCAATGTTACAGAAACAAGCAAATTGTGCAGTGCAGCCAGCTGCTGGTAACCATGTGCAGCTTGTGCTATTGACACCTGGAAATTGTCTAAACCAACAGCTGCCTAGCAGAGCAAAATGGTCATATGTGTGGGTTCAAATACCCCAAATTGATCCTACTTAATTATATACTTCAGAGGCTAAGGATGTTTATGGATATGAATTGAGTATCATGCAATAAATGGAAATACCATGTAATATTGTAATACTACCACTGAAGCTAGTGTAGACTGTTGAGTGTGTTTTCCTTCTTTGGAGTTTATATAATTGGCTTGTTTTTATTCAGATGGCATAATGATTGACAGAGTGAATGTAGCCAAAATACTTGCACAGTTACTAGATTACAGTGAATTCTGTTGATCCACCTTCATTTTAATTTTGGGTTTATTTCTCACAAACATTTAGTTTCTGCAGTTTCTAGAGAAAATGCTTTCAGACAGTGGATTTCAAAGCAATTTTCCTGAAATTGCACATTTTCCTTCCTGGGTATCCAGACAGCACCTGCACACCTTGCTCAGGGCCAGTCTGTCAGGGAGGAAGAGGAGGCCCCATGTGTGAAAAAGAGACCAGGAGCCAGAATGGATAATCAGCCTGGCATTGTAATATAATGTCCATTTACTGTGGGGACAAATGCAATAGGTCTCTCTAGTCTGTAAAGTAAAGAGAAGAGGGTGTAATTATACAACAGTGACTTTACTGTCTCTAAACCTGTGCAGCTGGGTGAAGATGTTATGATCAAGCCATTCTGAAAAGATCTAAAAGATAACCAAATGAAAATATTTTTGAGGCTGTCACATTGTGAGTGGAGGAAAGAGCCAAACAGAGGAGTACCTTCATGCATTCATGGTGCATTATTACTCACCTCTTGTTTTGTTTACAGGAATTTAGTCTGTTATCTTTCTCTGCTTATAAGCATATTTCCACAATTTTGAAATGAAGCCTAAAGAAATCCAAAATTATTTTAAGGATAAATAAATTTTAAAAATTTAAATGATAAATAGAAAATTGTGATAGAGTTATTACTACATATTTCAATTTACTTTCTGTTTTTTATCTGTGCTTTGACAGGGAGAGCTGATATTTAAAAGCAACATGGCAATCCCATTTCCTTGAAAATCAATCTCCCAAGTCCTGTTGCAGTAACATGAGTTCAGGTGAGGTTTTTAATTTCTGTAAGCCCCAGAAATACTTCTATGTTTAATTTAAATGGATAAGTGGTAGGATTTGAAGTTTTTATTGCTTTTACTACACCAAGTTCTGATCAGACATTAGAAATTGTCTGTAAAACCATGGTTAGATGTTTGCACATAAATTTAAGTATGCTTCTGTTTTTTTCTCAGAGATGTTTGTTGCTTTCCTCTCAAATTCCCTGCTGAAGTAAATTTTTACTTCATACAGAGAGAATGAGTGAAAGCATATATTACATTATTTATCTATTTATTAAATAGATAAAATATATTAATAGGAAGAAAACCTAGCCATTCTTTCACTAGCTCAAATGGTGCCACCTTTTCTTTCAAAAGTAGCTGGCAGCCATACAAGCACTAAATGGCTGAGTCCTTTGGTGACAGTCTAGGGATGTCTGGTCCATAATTGCTTTAGGGAGAATCTGACTAAATAAATTCTTTTGCCAAAAGTGAAATGGGGTTGCTATTGGAAAAGTTTGTCAGACCTATAGCAGACTTCATATACAGGCCAAGTGGCACTGGATTGAAAAAAAAAGAGGTTTAGACTGAACCAGAAAAGCACACCAGACTAATGGTTGCAGTGAGGGTAAGAAAAGAAATTTCTTTGACTTCAGAACATCCTTAAGCCTCATATGAATTCCTTGGGCTATCTCTGTGAATCATGTGATCATACCTTCTAAGACAGTCTAGATGTACACCTGTAAGCAGTTAGTAATTTAAGAATATGGTGGAAATAATGAATTTAGGATGCCTAACAGCAAAGACTTGCATAATTTGAAAGTAAAAGCATTGCAAAATTCATATTTGTTCTTTTCCTCTAATACATCTATTTCACCTGGTTTCATAAATTCTGCTGCTTGTCCAGGGGCCAAAAAAAATTGAAATTCCAGCTCACTGCATGTAGGACAATGTATATTCACATAGTTACAGTTGTGTATGAGGATGTAATCCCATTCTGATACTGTCTGATATCCATAAAAGTTAGATTAATTAACTTTTTCTTACATCTTATCATTTTGAGACTCTTTTAAATCAATTTATGTAAGCCACCTGGAAATCAAGTGTGCTGAATTGTTTAGCTCCATGCTTTAAATCTGTTTTAGTCTGGATGAATTTATTAATCACTCTTAACCCCTATGAAATGCTTGACAGTCTCAGCAAATAATAATATATTGTGGAAATAATTGAAGCTGAAGTCAAAATAATATTTTATTTTCTAACAATTATACCATGGGATGACCAATTGTTGACCTCATAATTAAGGGAAGATTGTCATTGTTTTACGTCAAAATGATGCTGAAGTTGTTTTGCTATAGCTGTGCTCTTCATTGCCACAGTCATAACTATCTTCTTTTCTGTCTTACCATCCAGTTAATAGGTAGTGGTTTTAATAACCAGAAAAATAGACTATCTTCTTGCCACACTACTCTTTAGCTCTTACTGAGGAAACAATGAAATGGGGAAATATTACAGCATAGCAGTATTTTTACTCTCCCAGTAGTTCAGTGGACTGTTCTTACTTTCTTGGCTCCTGTTCTACCACAAGGCCAAGAAAACTATTGTGTTTTTATTTCTAATTGTGAGTTTCTCCTCTACCTACCTTCTCCCTGTGATGTCCATGGAATTTTACTAGTGCTCCCAAAGAACAATATTTAGAGAGTTTATTTATTTAATAAATTCCTCCTCTCCTTTTCAACCCTGCCACCACTCTTGATGCAGCTGATCTGTGCTAGGTCTGTTACCAGGGTACCAGGTTCAGCTACAGAACTGAAACGAGTAAAAGGAGAGGCACTGGGCATGTGGAGTCATTTTTACTCTCTTGGTACACTTGTTGCAATTACTTTGTATCATTTTCCTCAGGTAGAACATGAGATTTCTGTGGAAGGTGTTGGCTGCTGCTTTTGTGAGGCAATTTAAATTTTTTTTGGGGGGAGGACATTCTTTACACTGTCTATCCTTGAATTGCAGTAACATATGGTGAGGACAAGAAATATTGCAATTCTTAGTATGCTGAGCTAAGGTTAGTCTTGGCTTGCTCAGCTTGCTTTATTTCAAAATCAACTGAAAAGTGGCAGTCAGGAAAAGAAATAATGAATATGTACATATTGAAATATTTTTATATCATAGCCTGGGACATGCAGTCTGAAAAATTGCTGGTATACAAAATAATTGCTTTTATACAGACACTGATACCACAACACATAAAGCATGGGCTGTATCATGAAACTTTTCACTTGAGTCTTTCTTCAAGGTCCAATCACCTTCCAAAGAGCACCTTTGCTTTTTTTTTACAATAGGAAAGCAATCCTGTTAAAGCAAAGCTTCTTTCAGCCATGGAGTGTGTAAAACCTCTTGATTTGCTGTCTCACTGACACCTGCTTCACTTCAAGTTACATGGCTTTACCTGCGGGAGAAGGGTGAGAAGAAAGGGCTACACTGTCCAAGAGGAAGGGTGGAGAGATGGTGTCTGGGCAGATCTTAAGGGTGGTCCCTCCTCTCTTGCAACAAAGGAAGACCATGAAAGGGGAATTGGCATAAATCAAAAAAGCAAGGAAGAAAACTGAAGAGGAATTCTGTTTCTCTTATAAATTCTCTTACAGAGTGAGGAAGTGCAAAAAAGTCAAGCTCTTGTGGCATGCATTACAGAAAACTGTCCTATTTTTGAGATAGGATATATATTCAGGGAGCACAAGAAAACTATTTATCTATTACTATTCAATGTGTTCCCAGCTTCCCTACTGTATCTCACAAGTGGATTCTTGAAATTAATTCACTCAGCTTTCCCTAAAATCAAGAGAACAGTGCAGTATTGATTTCATGCTAATAATTTCTCTGACTTGCACAAGGAGATAGTTAATTTATTTGCAGAGGGAGACATGTCCTTAAAGCTGTTCTGAGTACAGACAATGTGGATAAAATATTATGTTTGTGGCAAGAAAAATGTCTATAAATATTTTGGTGAAAGTATGTGACAAGGAAGGTATTTCTTACGTTGTTTCAAATAATTGTAAACTGTTAGTCTTCCATATAAATCTCTTGAATTAGACCATTTATATGCATGAACTTGTTAAAATACAGTGTACAGTATCAGTAAATTTGAAGACACAGGACAAAATTTTCTCTAGAGTGTACTGTCATCTATATATCAAGCTGGGGTGGTCTTTTTTTTTATTGGCATAACTATGCTTTAGTAAAAACTGCATTTTCTCCCTCTTAATATGGGGTTGATACCTATTGAAATCAAAGTGTGGTGTGCTGCTTTATGCTTGGGGCTTTGTGTCATGTTTAGCAGTAGTTTCCTGGAGTAAAATGAGCTTTTCTCAGCTGGGCAATGGCATTGCTACTGGGATTGATTGCAACACTGATCTTTGCACACAGAGGTAACTCACCAAAATTAGACAAACTAGTTTGGTGTCTGTACCTTTAGCCCCATATTAAAGCAGACCCTTAGGGTCTCAGTCTCAGCTGTAGCTTGCTTACCTGTCTCTTGGGGAGTGGGAAAACGGCACACCTTTTGGTTTTTTTGTTCTTGTAGAAGTTTTTCCACTTGTGGAGTATTTTATCAAGAGATTGTAGCCATGGATGCTATTGACTCTCTCTCTGCACACAAAAGCCTTTTTTGCCAGGCTCTGAGCCTCTGCCTCAGGCAGTACCCTCTTCCTTGTGCCCCCATAGGGCTCCTCACACAGCAGTCCAAAATGTGCAAGCATAAATTACAGTTTCAGATGAAAATGTTTGCATCTGCATTAAAAAGAGCATCTATTTGGCTCAAATCAGAAAGGTTTTTCCTAACTCAGAGAGGATTGTGGTTAGGTTAAGGACATGTGACAGTCAGCAATACAGCAAAGGTACAACCAGAGTTGCTGGATCTGCACTTGGAAAAATGGTGAGTCCAAAATGTTTTCTTATCCTCTTAGAAAGAGGAAAAATATAATGACTTTTATGTTGCCTGATGGTATACTAATTTTCACAACCTGCTGACTGTTTTCCTTTTGGATTTTTTGGTCTCACTATTATGTCTACCGCCATATTGAAGATGATATGTTTGCAGGTGGGGTATGGCCATCTGTACTGGAGTGTTCTTAACTCCCAGTGCAATGCAGAATAAATAATTGACAGAACTAACTTTATGATATACACCAAGAAACACAGATGCTCTGGTTGATTTCTGAGCAATTACTAAAAGATCCTACCAGGCTTTCCAAATGTACTTAAGCCTCAGATTGCAAGCCAAACTCAGCTTTTGAAGAAATGTGTTTGTACGCTTTCCAAGTCAAACAACCCACCCCAACTTGCATGGCTGATAGCAGATGTTGTACCTTTCTAACACGTGCTCCATTCTTTCAGAAGAAATAGAATTTGTGAAATTCTGCTATGTGAGGTCAGGCATTAGGAAATCCAATGGGGATGGAAGTGAAAGGAATTATACATCTTTAATTATGGAGCCTGCTGTCTGTGGTGTCTGGCCTGCTATGAGGCACCACCAGGGCAGCATACTCCTTTGAGAGAAAAAATTCTTCTCTTTAAGCTGTATCAGAAATCAGGTGAAGATGGATGCTGCTTCCATCTGCTTCGAATATTTCAGATTGGACAGGCATAATTTCAAATGACAGTGCATATTCTAGCTGTCAAAAGAATATTTAAAAATATGAATTATGCCACATAACCAGGATTACATAAACTAACATGAATGATACATGTCTTTAAATCAGCTGTCACTAACCACAGACATGTACTTCTTCATTAGATGACTTGTTCTATGAAACAAAGACAAATGCTCCATTTCATGAACTACAACATCACTGGTGTACAATTTCTCTTTCTAATGCCTTTGGTGAAAACTCCTATTCAACTTTTTCCTCATTATATTCTGATTTTTCTAGCCCAGCTAAGTCAGATTTGGCTTTCTAGGGTATGAAGTAAGCTATTCACATGCTGGTTTTATGCCCTAAAATTTAATTTTATGAGCTTTCACAGATTTATTTTTGTGGTGCTACTGTATTGGTGTCAGAAATACATAGGTATTAAATTGAGGCTTCACAAGCTCTCGAGGAAGGCATGCTAGATGGATTTCAAATAATTCTGTTTCCTCCTTTATCCTCTTTATTAGTTTTTTAAATATCCTTAATTTTGGCTTCAATTCAGGGAAGCACTCAAGCAAGCACTTAACTTTGAGAATGTGCTT